AGAAGATTGGCAACAGATAGTAGCTCAGGTACCAATCTTTAAAAAAAAAAAAAGAATTTCAATTTGGGAATCCTATATACACCCAGGAAATTGTTCACCTGTCAGGGAAAAATAAAGATATTTGAGGATATGCAAGTGTTCAGAGAGGAAAATTGTCAAGAAAAGACTGATGTAAACAAAAAATGAATGCCACAGATCACAGCAGAATCCTTAAGAAGGGTGAATCAAAGACATGAGAGAAAAGTGATGAGCAAAAAATGTTTATATATTAAATCAATATTACCTTTTCAATCAAAATCCAAATGGATAAGAAAAGACTATTATAAGGTAAGTGCTAAGTAAAAACCTTAGAAACAGAAGGGATATATAATAAGGGAAATTCTAATAACAGTTTAAGATTAATTGTGTTAAACTATCTCAACAAAACTCAAGAATTAGGAAAGAGTAGAGAGGAGGAGGGATGGGAAAGGAAAATCTCTCATCCATGGGAGGAGAGGAGGAGAGACTAAGGGAAAATGAAATTATTAAAAGGTCTTATCTTGTTCGGGTGAAGAGGAGTAGGGATAAAAGAGTGTCTTTGTGGCATCTTGTTTTTAGATTGTAGTAGAAAAGTATACGCCCTTTATGAGACTAAAGAAGGGAAAATAAATACTAATAGAACTTTTTTTTTAAAGATTTTATTTTTTCCTTTTTCTCCCCAAAGCCCCCCGGTACATAGTTGTGTATTCTTCATTGTGGGTTCCTCTAGTTGTGGCATGTGGGACGCTGCCTCAGCGTGGTCTGACGAGCAGTGCCATGTCCGCGCCCAGGATTCGAACCAACGAAACACTGGGCCGCCTGCAGCGGAGCATGCGAACTTAACCACTCGGCCATGGAGCCAGCCCACTAATAGAACTTTTTTTAAAGAATAACATTCAAATTAACAGAGGAAAAAATTGAATGAAGTATAACTTGATCAATTTGATAAAAATAAGAAAAAAGAAATAGGAAACAAGAGTGTAAAAGTAGTAAGTAGAATATATGTTAGAAGAGTAAAATCAGTGTCATTGCACTAAATATGAATAGACTAACTTCTTCCATTGGAGGGCAGAGAATATCAGATTGAATTAAAAAATACACCTAGTTGTGAACTCTTTATAGGAAACACACTTAAAACACTAAAGAAATGTTGAACATATAGGAGTAGAAAAAGAGATATTAGATAAACTGAAAAAAATATAGACTTGACTATATTAGTATGAGATAACATAGAATTTAGAATAAAAACACTAAAGATATAGGGATAATTTCACAATGAAAAAGATACAGTCTAAGAAAAATATACAGTCATAATTGTGTCTGAATTGAATAATATAGTAGATAAATATACAGGCATACCTTGTTTTGTTTTATTGTGCTTCACAGATATTGCATTTTTTATAAGACCTTCCACCGCAAAACGATTATGACTCACTGAAAGCCCAGAGGATGGTTAGCATTTTTTAGCAATAAAGTATTTTTTAATTAAGAGACATACATTATTTTTTCAACAGAATGCTATTGCACACTTAATAGACTACAGTATAGTGTAAACATAACTTTTATATGCACCAGGAAACCAAAAAATTTGTGTGACTCCCTTTATTTTGATATTCACTTTATTGCAATGGTTTAGAACCAAACCCACAATATCTCTGAGGTGTGCCTGTACAGTCAAAAACTGTCAGTTATACAAAGAGACTTCTTTAAAGTTACAGAGAGAGCCAGCCCTGAAGGCCTAGTGGTTAAAGTTCGTTGCTCTTACCACTTCGGTGGCCCAGATTTATTTCCTGGTTGTGGAACAACAACACCCATCTGTCAGTTATCATGCTGTGGTGGTGGTTCACATGTAAGAACCAGAAGGACATACAACTAGGATATACAACTTTGCAGCGGGGATTTGGGGGAGGAAAAGAAAAAGAGGAAGATTGGTAAGAGATGCTAGCTCAGGGTGAATGGTTTCCTGCAAAAAATAAATAAATAAATAAAACTCAACCTTATTCTCTTAAAAACGAACACATAAATAAAGTTATAGTGAGAGACTTTAATACATGATTGGACAAAATGAGCACAACTTAGAGAACTGATTTGTATAATCAAAAAGTGTGATGTAACAGATAATGTGTGTGTACATATTTTCTACCCCTTTACTAGAAAATAAATTTTTTCTCCTATATTTCTGAAAGATTTATAAAAATTGATCATGTTATCAGCTACAAAAAAACTTCAATAAATTTGAAGAAATAGATCTCTTACAGGCACATTCTTTGGTTATGATCCAATAAAACTAGAAACGTTAAAAAGAGTGGCCCAAAATATCATAACTCTTGGAAATTAAGTAGTCTGTTATTGGGTAAACCTTATATCAAAGAGGAAATAAAAAATTTATAAACTTTTAGAAAGCAATGAAAAGAAGAACACTTCATTATACTTGATAATTTGAGACCCAGTGAAAACTCAGAGGAAAATTTAAAGCCCTAAACTTTTTAATTATTAAAGAAAAAGGAGAAAAATTGACACTAAGCATTTTTTACTGCAATGTTTAAGGGGACCCAAAAAAATGGCACTCCTCCTTCTTGCCCAATAAGAAAAAGTAGTAAAACAGATGAAGACCATAATATCACAACACATGACCTTGATCATTTTCATTTGATTGGCCGGAGCAAGTCATTTGATCACACTTGAGGTCCAAGGGGAAAAGTAAGTGCATTCTCGCCATTCACCCAAGAGTAGAGAGAACAGGAATATTTTTGAAGAGCCCTAAAGACTCCCATATTTCTTATTCCTAAATATTATTTGTCTAGAATTTAGATGGCATATTCATATTTAACTTTCTAATCTCAAAGCCTATTTGATACAAAATGTACACGAAATAACATTTATATGGGCTTTTAACTACTGAAAATCCCAGTCCAATAATCCTGAGCTTCCTTTGAACATTCTTGAACTTTTCTGGGTCTGATAGCTGATTTCTAGGAATCAGTGGGTGAAGTGTCCAGTGAGAGAGTAACAGCAATTCTATCTCTGTGTGTCATTATTAGATCAAGTGTTAGTAAATCAGTGCACGTACACCTCATAGTCAATGGGATCTGAAAAAATTTTCATTGGTTAGAAAACACGGGTCTGAATATAAGTTATTTTATAATGTGGGCATTTTCATGGCCAGCCCTGGTGGTCTGGTGGTTAAGTTCAGCTCTCTCACCCACTACCAAGGCCTGGGTTCATTCCCCAGACAGGGAACCACACCATCCATCTGTCAGTTGTCATACTGTGGGGGCTGCATGTTGCTGTGATGCTGAAAGCTGTGCCACCAGTGTTGCAAACACCAGCAGGGTCACTTATGGCAGACAGGTTTCAGCAGAGCTTCCAGATTAAGACAGACTAGGAAGAAGGACCTGGGCACTCACTTCTGAAAAAATTGGTCATAAAAACCCTACTGACAGGAGTGGAGCATTGTCTGATACAGCGCTGAAAGTGAGAGGATGGCTCGAAAGGACCAGCAGGGTTCCGCTCTGCTGTCCACAGGGTCACTAGGAGTTGCAAGTGATTCCACGGCACTAATAACAAAGGCATTCTTATATTTAGTGATAGTTCAATGGTGTAGTAAAGTATTTCTACTAAAAGAAGCAGCTTACTGAATTAATAAGCAGGGCTAATCCAAAATGTAGCAATAATACCATTAGTGTTTGTGTATTTGCATTTACATTTGCTACCCAATTAGTTAAAAGATTATGCTTATACTGGGGTGTTAAATGATTACAAAAAAATTATTAGTCTCTTAGAAAAGAAAGTTATGTCTGATTACTTGTTTAGCATACCAACAAAAGACATACTGAATAATATTTCAGTTACTAATTCACAATTTGAAATTGGACATTGCTACACAAATATTGAAGTATAGAAAGGATATGATACAGAAAATTTGTATCAATTCTCTGGAGAGCAAGTTCTCAGAGACAACAGAAAGAACTCCAGGACTATCTTCTTTATCTACTAATAAGACTTTCATGACTCACCAATGACAAAATCATCCACTATCTCTTTCAGTTAAAAAATAATAAAGAAAAAAATTTCCTTGATTGAAAACAGAATGGACATATAAACAATCCATTATATGTAATATGTACATCAAAAATAAAGATCTTTCTCCCTCTCTCTCTTTCTCTCTCTATAATGTATGTATATATATAAACCTTATTGTTCTGTTCATTATAGTAATAACAAGACCTGAAACATTCAAGTCATTTCAACTAAACTTTTTCCTCCACCTTGTAGTAGTGTATCAGGACATAATTGATCTTCTTAATTTCTTGGACGCTCACATCCTATGTAAAGTCTTATAATCTCAACAGGAACTCTGTCTTACAGTTATAAAATCACTGATTAGCTTTAGTTCATTTCAACTCTCCTCAGAATTTTTCTAAACTCAATTTTCTCTCTCTTTTTCACCTTGTATATTGTTTTTGGAATTCTTAAATTTTTTGGAAGATCTTCACAAGTATCCCTCTGTAGCATCAAACTTTCCCCTTATTGTTTCCTCCTCCCCCAAAACCCAGCACAGCCTGCTGTAGTCCAGCCTCAATTTACCAAAGGTGCTCAGATTACGAGTCTTTAAGCCAAGCAATTTATTTAGAATTCTCCAAATAATTTTTAAACTAATACCAGATTTTTATATGGTTATGATGATCAGAATATCAAAGGGACAATAGAACCACAAAGTGCCTAACTGCAATGAGATAAATAGACCATTAGTTTCTTTAAATTTATTTGTTTGCTTATGGTTACAGAGGTAGTATATGAGCACTGTAGAAAATCTGGAAGATTCAAAAAGAAAACAGAATAGAAATGACTATAACTTCTCCACTCAGATATAACTTAATATTTTGATTAAATCACATTTTAAAATAGAATATAAGCTGCAACAGACTTCCACAAGGCAATAAAAATAAGTATATTTCTCTTTCATTTTTCTCCTTGTGGAGATCTGAAGAGCAGTACAGACTAAGCGAAGGAGAAAAGAATGAGGAGCAGGAAGAGGAGAAAAGAAAGACCACCATGTATGCAGAGTGCCCAAAGAGAGCCATTCCTGTGCTTTTTCTGCAACAGCATCTTCCTTGGGAAACAGCTGAATGTGGCTACTGCTTCCACTTGGAAAATTAGAGTACAGCAACCATGCTATTAGAAATCTTGTGCTCTTTGATGTTGGCGTTTGGTATTTTTGGCTAAAAATTAAGCTGAGATCGTTTAAACATGTCTGACACATGGACTGGGCCTGTATCTTAGTGAGTTTTCTTTGTTTTGTCAGTCTACCCATTATTTCATCTCCTTTAATCAAACATTTTATTGTACTTTTGCAATATTATCAGGCGAGACGGTGAGTGTCAATATCAGTAAGATTACCTGTGCTGTGATGTTTCTGAAACATCTGGTGTCTAGGTCAGGCTTTTCTCAGCTTTTTACTTTGTTTTTGGTGCACTTAGGATCTTTTCTAACACATGGACACTCCTATTCAGCCATCTCTTCTTCAAGCTATTCTTCTTCATATAATTTTTCCTTAAAGTCCAATTTTTATAAATGATTAATTCTTATTGTTTTCTTCAGGACCACTCAAAGATAACTTCCCTTATCTCCTTCAATTTTTACTTGAAAATAAAATATTACTCTAGACAAAGAAATTTTTGACTTAAATTCTCCCACTACCCAGGCCACCAGATTTTATAATACGCAAGTAGTTGGAGACTATTCAAAGTCCAGTCAGGTGCTTACCTTTCTATCCTGACTCTTTATCTGCAAATCTCTTTCTGTCTTTCTTGTTTTCTTTACCCTATTTTCCTCACTATCAAATATTTTTATCACCCTTAAATACAGTTCACTGGATTAGGCTTGCATTTAAGAAAAGTTATGCTGTCTATTCTTTTCTATAACAATACCATATTTAAAAATTTCCTGTGATATGGGTATACATTCATTTCATTTTCAGAAAATATTAGCAAGACAGTATTTTCAATGTAAAAGACAAATCAGAGCTTGTTAATTGAGAAATAAAATTAGATCCATAGAGGATGAAATGGCTTTTATTTAAATAAACTGCAGCATCTAGAAATCTCACCTGAAAACACATAGCCACTTGATATTACGTAAATAAATAGCTTGAAGAAAAATAGTTTTAACTAGAAAACTTATGGCCTTAATTTTATATATGTGTCTCAGCTAAGTATACTTTTAAAAATAAATGGATAAATATAAGTACAAGACTAGCTAAATGATTCTTTAAAATTTATTTCTAAAAAGCAAACATTACTTCATCACATGGTAGTAATAAACATATGTTAATGACATAATTAATTGCTTAGTTGATTATAATGCCCAGAAATATATCTTTGAAGTAGGGGGCAAAGTTTTAAAAAAATCTTGAAAAACAGATGTCCTTAAACATGAAAGATTTCCAAATCTGGCACCAGCTTGTCAGATGCTAACATTCAAAAATATGCATGAGTAGAACATTAAAATCCAGCAATTACTCTAAATCAGGATATTATAAAATCCATGTGTACTCTGATTTACCTTGGATCTAGTTTATTGATTATATTATTGAATCTTACAGATGAATTTCAAGCCAGAAATCTTGCCTCAGACTTTACAATATGCATTATATTGACAAATGGAGGATAACTGAGCCATTATTGAACAAGTTTTCCCCAGAAGGTATTAAGCCTAATTCCTGAATGTTCTGAGTTTGTCGGATTACATACTAAAACTTTTCATTTGCTTGTGTACACTGATAACTAGTCATTGTCTCTCAATCACTCTCAAATTCATTCTTCCCCCTTCCCTTTATTTTCTTCCTTCTCTGAATTTATAGGTTTACATATTAATTCATGTATTGATTTCTCATTGATTGTCTCTTTAAGAATTGTGCCAAATGCTGGGAATACAATAATGAGTAAGAAACATTTCTACTTCTGACTATTGCAGAGTAACTGGCACTAGATTAGCTTTCATGCTGCAAAAAACCATATAACTGTGCAAAATATATGGGGACATTATCTTCAGGCATTGGGCAATAGACAGCGCAAGATTGTGATCCCTGAAAAGAAAACTCATCAGGTAATATCCCATAATCATTCTGGCTCTCTGTCTAGAGACAATTAATCAACTGTGGCACAGTGAGACAAAGTCTGAGCACAGCATGGAAAGGAATCAGAATTGGGGCAGATGTAGTCACTGGAATGTGCAGGGTTGGAATTGAGGAGGGAGTAGTGTGGGAGAGGGCATGGAAGTCCATGTGTCCTGTGCAAGCATGGGGTGAGACTACATAGGCTCAGCAGAAAGCATTTGCTACAAGATAGAGGTTGAAACAAAGATTCTAGAGGTTGAGCAATTCTGGGAGACATTGGAGTTCCAGCCCAGAAAAAATGTTAACCCCCAGGCATCAAGATGAGACACCAGAAAAGCCATCCTTAAGAGTAAGGCCTATGCTTTTAGACAAAGTACATTCTAGAGCTCTCCTAATAAAGATGAAAACCACCAACCTAAAAATCTGTATCTAGTAAAACTATCTTTCGAAAGCAAAGGAGAAATAATGACTTTTTCAGGCAAACGAAAATTGAAGGAGTTGTTGCCAGTGGACTTGCCTTATAAGAAACATTAAAAGAAGCTCTTCAGAAAGAAGGAAAATTATATAGGTCAGAAAGTTAGATCTACATAAAGAAAGGAAGAGTGTTAAAAAGGGATAAATGAAGGTAAAATGAAATCTTTTCTTTCTCTTAACTGATCTAATAAATAATAGGTTGTTAAAATAATAATAGCAACAATGTATTGGATGATTATAGTGTATGGATAAGTGAAGTAAAGGACAGTAATGTTATAGAGGACAGGAGTGGCTAGGAATATCCTGTAATAAGGCCCCTACACTATCCACGAGGCAATATAATGTTATTTAAAATAGTATTATTTGAAAGTTGACTTGGGTTAATTGTAAATGTATCTTATAAAATCTAGGGCAACCACTAAAAAATTTTTAGGAAATATTATTGAAATGCTAAGAAAGGAGAGAAAAGGGAATCATATAACATGCTCAATTAAAAGCAGAAACCAGAGAAGGCAGAAAAAGAGTGAAAGACAAAGAAGAGGAATAGGAAGAAGAGGAAGAAAAAGAAAAAGAGCAACAAATAGAAAACAGAAATGTGGCCAATGTTAATCCAAGTAAATAATAATCACTCTAAATGTGAATGGTCTAAATACACCAAACTATCAGAGTGGATGCAAAATCAAGACCCAACTATATATATTGTCTTCAAGAAACCACTTTAAATGTCTACTTGCCTAACAATAGAGCATCAAAATACATGAGGCAAAAACTGATAGAACTGAAAGGAGAAATAGATAAACCTACTATTACAGTTGGAGACTTTTACACCCCTCTACCAGTAATTGACAAATCCAGCAAGCAGAAAATCAGTGAGGATACAGTTAAACTGAACAGCACCGTCAATTAACTGTATTTACTTGGCATGTATAGACTGCTTCATCCAACAACAGTAGAATACACATTCTTCTCCAGCTCACATGGAACATTCACCAAGATAAACCACATTCTAGTAAGTAATAGAGATAAAATACACCTCCACAAATTTGAAAGTATAGAAATCAAGGTAAGTATACTCTTAGACTACAATGAAATTAAACTAGAAATCAATTACAGAAAAAGAGCTGGAAAATCCCCAAATATGTGGAGATTAAACATCAGACTTCTAAATAAAAAATGGGTTAAAGAAGGCTCAAATTGAATTTAAAAATAAAATTTAGAGAAATTTAAAAATACTTTGAATAAAAATACAACTTATCAAAATTATGGGATTTCATGAAAGCGGTGCTTAGAGGGAATTTTATAGCATTGAATACAAATACTAGACAAGAAAGATCTATAATCAATAAGCTAAGCTTCCACCTCAGGAAATTAGGAATAGAAGAGTAATATAAACCTCAAGCAAGCAGAAGAAAATAAACAATAAAAATTAGAGCATAAATTAATGAAATTGAAAACAGAAAATCAACAGAAAAAATCAAGAAGCCAAAGCTGGTTCTTTGGGAAAAAACTCAATGAAATTGATAAAACTCTATCCAGCTAACGCGAGAAGAAAAAGAAGACACAAATTACTAACATTGTTACTGCCCAAGGTGGGGTCGTCTGCTCACCACAAGACAAGCCAATAGTCAGGAGGCCAGGTGGTAGGAAAGAACTTTATTACAGCTTGCTAGCAAGAGGGAAGATGGCCAACTTATGTCCAAAGAACCATCTCACAGAACAAAGACTACAGACCTGTTATATATGGCGCTATTCTCCAGGTGGGGGAGGTGGCTGGTCTCTGGGTGGGGCACACATCTGGCCCCAGTTCCTGATAGTTCTTTGTTTTACTGGATATGCATCAGAGAATGGAGCAACATGCTATACCCAGAACTTTCAGTTGTCATTGATGATGGCTATCAGAACAGGCTCTCTGCCCCGGAGTCATCACATTCCTAGAGAACTCAAAGGAACAAAGTTATCATCTTAAAGCAGCTGGGAGGGGCCATGTCTGGGCTAGTTAGTCAGAGGTCACTTAAAGTTACAATATGTTTTCTTTTCTATAACATGGCTTCCCTTATGTCAACCTTGTGTTGAGCTGGTATCAACATCATAAATGAAAAAGAGGCCACCACTATGGATCCCATGAACATTAAAAGATCTGTTTCTCTGGTGAAACCCTGAATGACACAGGTACATACATGTGAATTCATACATGTATGTAAAATACAAGGCGTGAAAATATACTCATCAAAATCAATAAAATGGTTGCCTTTGGAGAAGACCGTGGGACAGAGTTTGAACTTAGCAGTGGGTTTTAGTCTCATCAAGATTTTTTTTTTAAACCAAATGAAGACATTCCTATATTTCTGTGCAATTAAAAAACATTTGTCAAAGAAAAGAACAGTTGGGGCCAGCCCCATGGCCGAGTGGTTAAGTTTGCGCACTCTGCTGCAGTGGCCCAGGGTTTCACCAGTTTGGATCCTGGGCACAGACATGGCACTGCTCGTCAGGCCATGCTGGAGCAGCGTCCCACATAGTGCAACCAGAGGGGCCTGCAACTAGAATATACAACTATGTACTGGGGGGCTTTGAGGGGAAGAAGAAGAAGATTGGCAACAGAGGGTAGCTCAGGTGCCAAGCTTTAAAAAAAAAAAGAAAAGAACAGTTGAAAGCCTGGATGGTCATCTAATGATCATTACACGAGGCCAAGTGCTGTTAACATGAGAGTGAGAAAAATGAATAAAGGTGTGAAAAGAAAAGCTTTCCATCATTTCTGATGGCATAATACTCTTTCAGTAGGTATTTACAATGTGCCAGCAAGATATCAGCCATAAAATAAAGAAACGAAATGGTGTCTGCCCTCCTGTGAAGGAGACATTATCATATGATACTTCGAGCTCCTACTTTTATTCCTAAGAGTCAACATTTATTCAGTGCTAACCAAATGCCAGGCAGTGTTCTACCTGTTTGCCATGTTTTACATGTATTTTCCAGTCAACCCTCATAACAACCATACACACATAGGCATTATTTTTATTATCCCTGTTTTGAAGATAAGAAACTGAGCACAGATGGGTTAGTAACTTGCTTAATGTTACTCACCTAGAAGCTGGGATTCAAACCCATGTAGTCTGATCACAAAGCCTGGCTTCTTAGCCACTGTAGTTTGCTACCAATTCTGCTTTGCTGTCTCATTTAATCCTCAACAAAACCTGGCCAAGGCAAGCGATGCTGTGGTTAGGCGTCCCACGTATAAAGTAGAGGAAGATGGGCACGGATGTCAGCTCAGGGCCGGTCTTCCTCAGCAAAAAGAGGAGGACAGGCAGCAGATATTAGCTCAGGGCTGATCTTCCTCAAAAAAAAAAAAGAAAAAAACAAGGACAAGGACAACCACTATTATTTTACAGATGGGGAAACGGAAACCTGAAGAGGTCATGGAGTTGGTGTAGGTCACACCGATTGTAGACAGCAGAACCAGGTTTTAAACTAGCCCATTCTCCAATATTCTTCCTTATGAGACTGTAGAAACAAACAACTGTATTAATGTGTGATGTGTCCTAGAGGCTAGGATGACGCTCCTCCTGGGTGACTATGAGCTTCTTTGCCTCTCCATTTCTCCTGCACCCTAATCAGTTCCTGTCTCCTGCCCTTCATTCCTTCTTTTCCTGCTATTTCTCTGCATGGATCTCCTCCTCAGCCTCTTGGTGGCTGCTTTCCCTGTCAGCCTTTCTCCCTTTCCCCTCTGTCTGCCTGCCTCTCTTACTCCACCGTGTCTGAATACTTATACCAAACTCCTAAATTAAAAAACAAAATTGTTCGCAGTTCTCAGAGGAGGGAGGGGCGGGAGAGGAAGTACTCGGGCTCTGGGTTAAATTCAGGTCTTTGACTGTTGATCAATTGCTAAAAAGTTAACAGTGTTTCCTTCCTGTGCATGTTCACAATTATTGTGGTTGCAGTGGTTGTGTATGTGCATCCGTGTGTCCTCCTACATGACATATACAAGTGTGGGTGGAATATTGCCTTTATTGGTAAAGACCTGCCAGCTGGTGCCAGGGTGCTCAGACTGCCTACTGCTCTTGAGTCACATGCTGAAAACTTCATAATGAAACCCGAAAATCACAGAAGCATAAACACAGCTGCTTTTGCCTATTAAGTAAGTGGTTTACAAGGGAAAGCATAATCAGAAGAATCTAGTGTTTAGTCAATTACATTAACAGCAGACAAATAGAAATCATATGTATTTGACAGGAGGCCATTTTAAGAAACTGTATATTTGTATGCAGCAAACATAATGAGACATCTTAAAAGAAATGTCATCCATTATTCATAAACTTGAATAAAACACAAAGAGTTCTCCAGAAAAACCAGAAAATTAAAATTATGTTAAAAATGTGAGGGTTTTGATTTTAGTAGCTCATTTTATTTCTTAAATTGTTTCAGAGGTGCTTTTTCTTTTTAAGTGATTACAACCAAAGAGATTTACTATATCTTGAATATGCTAGAGATATTATTTCAGAAAACCCTGTATGTTGGGGGATTTCCAAGGCTGTGAGAATCACAATCTCTATCGTAATTTGAATTGGTTGGGAGAGGGCCATAAAGAATAGTCAGACCCAGTGGGGTGTGGCAGGTGATTAAGAAACTTCCCTCCATGGATGATAGAAGGTCATCAGTGAAGACAGCTGGACCATCAGGGAAATCTTGCAGCAGGCAAAGGTCAGAGGTCAAAGCTCAAAAGACCCATTGTTGCCTCATTGGTGGAGTTTCAGCCCCCGGGATCAGAACACAAAAAAATCACTGATGAAGTTGAAAAGGAACCAGGAAGACCCCTGTGCTGGGAGGAGGTACAAGGATCGTGCTATTGGAATTGGGGCTCAAGTCAAGGGCGTGGCACAAGAAGTATTTCCAGCACATCCAGACATAAGGTACAGTGATTGCCACTTGTTTCTTAGATTCTACTTGTGTTTTGAGAGCGTGGAGTGGGCCGAGTCTTCAGGTTCCAGGTACGTTGTCTTAGTTATAAGGCCTGTGGGGAGTGGGAATGCAAGTTGCTAATGAAATTTTACTAATCCAGTATAACTGCAGTGGTGATACTGCAGTAGATGAAAAAGGTCCAGTGTGAACAACTAATAATTGCAAATTTCTGAAAGCATTTCTAAATTTCAATTATTATGGGACTGGAAGTCCTTAAAGGATCTATCTTAATAGATGAGATGCGTGGTTCTGTAATTTGCAGAGATCCCCAAACAATTGTGCATGCATCAGCTGCATCAGAATCACCTGGTGGTGCTTCAAAAAATAGACTCCCAGCCCCATGAGCTGTCTACAGAATCAGTATCAGAGAAAAGCGTAGGAATCTGAATTTTCTGCAAACGCCTCAAGGAACCACTGACATTATGACTAAACTCCCATTTGGAGTCCTGTCAAATTTATTCCACAGAGAGCATTTCAAGAGTTCCAGAGAATTTGAGTTCGAAGACTTTGTTCTCTCAAACAGTCTAAGCATTCTCTCTTCCAACAGTATCCTATAAATACACGGATAAATACAACTCTTTATTATACCAGGATGTACAGCTTTAATTCAGTGCTTCCCAGAATTATCATGAATTCCAATTTAAAAAGTCTAAATTTTTAATTCTATAAAACTATCCCCCTAAAATCATCCTATTCCTCTGCAATTGTGCCATACACAGCTGGGGCGTGTCTTCTCACAGAGATAACGTCCTTGGAACAATCCCATCCATATGCCTATTTTGTGTACCTTGGGGGTTTTTTTCTCTGCCATAAATTTAGTTAACTGATAAGTCGAGTGTATGTAGGAGACTGACAAACCTCTTTCTGCTCTGGATGCATAAGAAGAGCGAGAAATCTGGGCGGCTCCGTGGTGGAGTGGTTAAGTTCGCGCACTCCGCTTCAGCAGCCCAGGTTTTCACCAGTTTGGATCCTGGGCACAGACATCGCACCGCTCATCAGGCCATGCTGAGGCGGGTCTCACATGCCACAACTAGAACAACCCACAACTAAAAAATATGCAACTATGTACTGGGAGGATTTGGGGAGAAAAAGCAGGAAAAAAAAGTTGGCAACAGTTGTTAGCTCAGGTGCCAATCTTAAAAAAAAAAAAAAAATAGTGAGAGAAGAAAGGACTTCTTCCAGAAGGACTGGAAGAAGGAAAGACTTATGTAGACAGAGACAGCAGCTGAGCTATAAAGAGTATAGAGATGCCTTCTTGGCTAAAATGTATCCTGATAGCCCAACTTGGGCCCTGATAGCTGGAAAGGGTAAAGCATTAAATCTGTATCTTCCATTGGCAATCAGCACCATGTTGCATTCTACACTCAATCCATTTTCCTGATGTCCTCCCACCCACTTCTCTTAAAAGGAGTGAGGAAAGAAGAATAATTACATCTGGATGAAGGGCTTAATATTCCTATAGGACAGGTCCAAATTGAAGGCTGCAATGGGAGGCACTGGGACTGGAACACCTTTAGGACCCCTTCAGCGCAAGGACTATGTTGGGTCTCATCTCAACATGATGAGACTGATCATGAAATGCTTTGGCAACCAAGTAGTGTTGCAGAGAGCTACTGGCAAGTGAGCTGGGCACCAGTCCTTCATCTTGCCTTTTCCCACTCTTCAGCCTTCCCTGGAGGAGCTTGGCATTCTCTTGGCTTCTGAGAGCAACTATATTCTGGTGATCTCAAATTTTAAGTTCCAACCCAAACCTCTTTTCTGAGCTACAAATTCATACAATCTCGTTGCCTATTTGACGTCTCCACTGGGATCTCTCTGGAGGCACTGGGATGCAGCACTGACCAAAACAGGGAAAAAATCTGACCTTGTGGAACTCACATAGTAGTCCATACTCAAAATGTCCCAAACTGAAGTCATATACCCTAAATCTGTCCCAGCCACTAGCTGCTCCGGCTAAAAACCACATCTTATTAGCTATACCTCTAAGGTATTATTTTCTTTGGTCAATTTTCAATTGGACGATAGTCCACGGAATTCATCATTTCTCTCCAAGCATCTATAAAAGGCTCCTAATTGGCCTCCCTCAATCGCTTTTATTTTCCTCCAATCTAAGCCAGAATGGTTACTTTATTTCATTTTCCAAGGATGCAGATCTGATCATGACAATCCCCTGCTTAAAAATTTTTCAAATGCGACGAATAAAATCCAGAGCCTACGAGAGCCAGCATGATCTGGCCTTGATTTCCTCCCGAGCTTTCTCCTCTTGACTCTCTGAGTTCCAGCCACACTGACGTTCAGTGTGTTGGTAACTATGCCAAAGTCCTTTTCACTCTAGTGGCATTCTTCCTCTTCCATTTGACGCTGTTAACTCCAAATCATTTTCAGATCTTAGGTTGAACATCATTTTTTCCAGCCTACAATTCCTGCTAGATTACAATGAGTCTATTTATGTATACATTTGTAGCATTTTTTTTAATGCTGGCTAACATTGTAATTAATTACTTGTGTGATGAGCTGCTTATGTCTGCTCCACCGTTAGGCTGCAAGGTCCCTTAGGGCAGGAACTATATCCATCTTTTTCACCACAGAATCTCCAGTGATATCACAGTGGAAATAGTAGGCATTCAATGATTGTGTGTTATATTTGTTAAATACAAGGAAAGGCTATAACTCTGCCAAGTAAGCCAGTAATATAGCAATAATGAGAAATAAAAACTCATCATTAAGGCTGTAATTATGGGATAATAAGGAATTCTAGTGGACTAATTAGAAAAAAAATTTAAATAAATTTTTTATTATCCAGATGACAACAGTGAATTACTACAAATGCAGCAAAGGAAAATGAATGTTAATAATGAACGAGTGATAGGAAAAAGGAAAACCACTGAAGCAGCTCCAAACTGGAAAGCCTGGTGATGGACATGTCATCAAGGATGAGAAGGGACCTTTGTCTGTATAAAAGGAAACAGCAGACCTCACAGTGATTACAGATAGGATTCTAGGGACCTGTCCTGCACCAAACGTCTTTGGGGCTATGATCTCCCTCATTGAGATATTCAGATGTGGTAGAGTGGAGTTGTGTAGAGAACAGCATAAAATGCTAAACTGGAGTAGGTGGGAACCTAGGCAGCTGGTATGTAGAGAAAGAAAATATTGAATAGTTTGCATGCAGGTAGATTCCCATGATGACTTTTAAATCTGGTTTATGATGCATAAATATTAAATGAACTAAAAAGCTTTAAGGTTGAAAATGACCCTGTACAGGCAGAACATGAATGCCTTCTGTACATGACTCCTGTTGACTTCAGATTTCAAGAGCACAGACTGGGCCAAAATTACTTGCTGTGCAGCAATGATTTCATAATAGGAATATTATGTCTCAATGTTTAGAACCTTCTAAATTATTCAGAAATCTTCTGAAATTTTTATTTTTCAACCTCAAAGGATATGGTTTATCTTGTTTTGGAAAGGGAAAACGTATCTATATTTCTGAGGGCTTGTTCTTTAATAAAATAAACCAAGATAAATAGGTTTACATATTTGAGAATATATGGAGTATGTTTCCCACATTTTAATCCCAAAATGCTAAATAAAACATACGGAGTCTGCTGAATGTCAAATATGACATCAATACACCATGGAAGAACTACTGATGTTGAGTTCCTAGGTCAACGTTAAAAGTATTTGTGAAATTTTGAGTAGATTTTATTAATAAATTGCTTTTCTTTCAAAGACTCCTGGGTAATAATGCACTGTCACCTTTTCTCATTAGTTGAGTTGTGATAAGGGGGTCTGAATGGACTTCCAGTTTCCTATCCCTGTGAAAGACCTAAGCTTGAAGAAAGATGCATTTTCTTTGTCTTTCTCTTGTCTGGTCAGTGTTAACAATAAAACAGAACTACTTTTTAAAAGATCGTTCCCAGACACTCTGGAAAACACGTTGGGTGATTTCTTAAAGAACTAAACATGTACCTACCATACAACCCAGCAGTTGCTCTCTTGGACATTTATCCCAGAGAAGTAAAAACTTTCTGCTGATTGATTTTTCTCCTGGGTGTTGGGCGTATTTTCCTGCTTATTTACAAGTGGAGTGATTTGTTTTTTGGTCGTTTACTGGCCATTGTGAATTTTATGTCATTGACTGTTGGGTATTGTTGTTTTCCTTTAATGAGTATTTGGTTTCGTTATGGCACTTTTACTTGCACGTCATTTTGACCCTTTTGAGGCTTGCTGTTAAGCTTTATTAGGGTGAGCCCGGGGCAGACGACTCTAGGGCTAATGTAGCCCTGAGACAACAGTACGACGCCTCTGAGAATCTGCCCAACACCCCATGTCGTACCAGACTTCTTCACTCAGGCTGGTGAGAACTTGAACTCTCCCCATTCCCACGTTAGCCCTGGGAATTGCTCAGCCCACTGCTCCTGATGGCTCCTTTCGTGGCTTAGAAATATTCACCCCCTGCACGCGCAGATCAGTATTTAGCCAAAGACTCAAGGGGAACCTTCTGCAGATCTCCAGAACTTTCGGCTGTGTAGCCCTGTTTCTCTGGTACAATCAAAACAAAACTTATCCCCACATAAAAACTTATAAACAATATTTATAACAGCTTCATTTGTAATAGCCAAAAACTAGACAAAAAAATAAATGTTCTTCAATGGGTAAATGGTTAAACAGTGATATATCCTATATGCTGGAATACTACTAGTAATAAAAAGAAATGGATTATTGATATGTGCAACAACTTGACTGAATCTGCAGTGAATTATGCAGAGGGAAAAAAGTCAATCCCAAAAGGTTACATGCTATCTATGTGATATGATTCCATTATATAACATTCTCAAAATGACATAATTATAAAAATTGAGGACACATTCAGGGTTCCCAGGGGTCAGGGATGGGGATGGGGGAGTGAAGTGGGAGGTACAGTGAGGAAGGGAGTTGAGTGTGGTTA